AGTCTGGGGGCGCGGAGGGGCCCCGGGGCCCGAGGAGGGGGTGCGGGGGGGTCCCAGCCTGGGGCCCGAGGAGGGGGCGGGGGGGGTCCCAGGCTGGGGCCGCTCGGGGCCCGAGGAGGGGGCGCTGGGGGGCCGCGGGGGGGTCCCAGGCTGGGGGCGCTGGGGGTCCCGGTCACTCACCCTCGGGGGGCTCCGGGCCCAGGCCCAGGCCGCCAGCACCAGCCCCAGCCCCAGCCCGGCTATTCCCAGCGCGGCCCCCGCCAGCCCCAGCGCTCGCCCGGCCCGCGCCCGCCGCCGCCTGCGCCCCATGGACCCGCCGCCCCTCGCTCCGGGGCCGGGCCGGGGCATCGGGGCGGGTCCGTGCGGGGCCGGGCGCCAGGGACAGGAAACAGGCGGGGGGGGGGAGCGAAAGAGAGAATGAGAGAGACCGTGTGTGTGTGTGTGTGTGAGCGAGAGAGAGACAGTATGTGTGTGTCAGTCAGTGTGTGTGTGTTTGTGTGTGTCAGTGTGTGTCTCAGTGCGTGTTTCTGTGTCAATCAGTGTGTGTGAGAGTGTGTCAGTGTGTGTTTGTGTGTGTGTCAGTGTGTGTTTCTGTGTGAGTCAGTTTGTGTGTTTCTGTGTGTGTGTGAGAGTGTCAGTCAGTCAGTGTGTGTGAGTCAGTCAGTGTGTCTCAGTGTGTGTTTCTGTGTCAGTCAGTGTGTGTGAGAGTGTCAGTCAGTGTGTGTTTGTGTGTGTGTGTGAGAGAGTGTCAGTCAGTCAGTGTGTCTTTGTGTGTGTTTGTGTCTGTCAGTGTGTGTGAGTCAGTGTGTCTCAGTGTGTGTTTCTGTGTCAGTCAGTGTGTGTTTGTGTGTGTGTCAGTGTGTGTTTCTGTGTGAGTCAGTTTGTGTGTTTGTGTGTGTGTGAGAGTGTCAGTCAGTCAGTGTGTGTGAGTCAGTCAGTGTGTCTGTGTGTGTTTCTGTGTCAGTCAGTGTGTGTGAGAGTGTCAGTCAGTGTGTGTTTGTGTGTGTGTCAGTGTGTGTTTCTGTGTCAGTCAGTTTGTGTGTTTCTGTGTGTGTGTGTCAGTGTGTGTGTATCAGTCAGTCAGTGTGTGTCAATGTGTGAGTGTGTGTTTCTGTCGGTGTGTGTGTGAGAGCGAGAGCGAGAGAGAGCAGGGTGTGTGTGTCAGTGTGTTTCTGTCTGTGTGAGAGACAGTGTGTGTCATTAGCACTGTCAGTGTAGCACTCTGTGTCAATGTATGCATGTGTGAGTGTTTGTGCGAGCCATCTCTGGGTGTGCGAGCAAGGCATCAGGGTGTGTGTGACAAGCAGACAGAGGAGCCGGCCCAGCTGGGTCGCTCTGCCCCGACAGGCACAGCAGCTCCGCACCGGCCTGGCCACAAGAACGAAATCCTCCGAGTGGCAGGGGGCTGGCAACCCCTAACCCAGCCCCCCACTACTCTCCCAGAGCCAGGGAGAGAACCCAGGAGTCCTGGCTCCCAGCCCCCCCCAACCCACCAGCCGGTCTCTGTTGCCCCCTGGTGGCCGGTGTGTGGAACAGCTCCAGGACCCAGATCGGCCCCAGCTAAGCAGCTGGTTGACCCCTCCCTGCCCCCCACATGCCAAGAGGACCCCCCCCCAGACTTCTGCATCTGCACGGAGCGCCCGCCCCACTTCCCTCCCCCGCAACATCTGGCGTCCCCCGGGGGGCTAGGGGAGGCTCGTCAGCCGGGCCACTCCGGATGCCTCTGGCCGGAGACCTCCTAGAATTTGGCCTCAGTCCCCATATCCAGGGGGCTGCGGGTCGGGAGTGAGGGGCACCGGTAGAGCTGGGGGGCGGGCAGGGGGTCGGGATTGACCCATGGGGGGAAGGATCCTATGGTGGTGAAGGGGTTAAAATAATCTGTAAAGAAACAAGCTGGTCGGGGCGGGAACCGAACCGGGGTCTGTTACTTGGAAACCAGCTCCGCTGCCCACCACGCCACCGACGCGGCGCCCGGGAGGGGGAGCGACAGCTAAAATCCCTTTCCTGGGAGGAGCGACCGGCTCCCGGCCCCCCCCTTCGTGCAGGGGGCGGCGCTAAAACTCTCCAAAAGAAAACCTTCGTTTGGCAGCGGTGGGATTCGAACCCACGTCCCCGGAGAGACTGGAGCCTAAATCCAGCGCCTTAGACCGCTCGGCCACGCTACCACCGGCGGCAGCCTCCTGCGTCGGGGCCTGGCAATGGGTCAGGAGCAGCCTGACACCGGCTCCAAAGGTGCGAAGCAAATCTGGAGCCACATCTGGTTCTGCCCCCTCCAGATTCCCGGCCCATATAAACCGGCACCTCTCGGCCTGGCCTGGCCGCCAGCCTCTTGGCGGGAGGCTGATTTGGCTTCTGCGCCCCCAAATTACACCCCAAACCCCCCATCAACCCCCAAGCGTGACCGATGCAGTAGGAAACACCCAGGCCATAGAAATCTTGATTCGGGGGCGGATCCCGAGCAGCGTTAAGAGGTCAAGGTTGGAAATTTGAATGCGGCCTGACTCCACTGGCCTGCTGGAAAACAAGGCATTGGCGTGGCCCCCCTGGGAGACCTCAGTGTACCCCCCAAGAGCACACGTACCCCCCACTGGTATAAACCCAGCTCACCTCCACTTTCTGCTACAGCTGCATGAAGCAAACATGCGGCCACCTGTGGGACGGGGCGGCTGGTTACACGGGGACCCCTCGCCCTGCACTGAGATGTGCCCATCTCTGGGGCGGGGCGGCTGGTTACACGGGGACCCCTCGCCCGGCGCTGAGATGTGCCCATCTCTGGGGCGGGGCGGCTGGTTACACGGGGACCCCTCGCCCTGCACTGAGATGTGCCCATCTCTGGGGCGGGGCAGCTGGTTACTCAGGGACCCCTTGCCCGGCGCTGAGATGCGGCCACCTCTCGGGGTGATGGAGTGAAATCCGCAGGGAATCGTCTTCTTTCCCTCGAAGACTGTTCAAGGATGGGTGGGATCCCAGAGGGCTCGTCCGGAACCGGGCCCTGCTTGTGCCAGGCCCTGCCCGCACTCTGCCTCCGCCTCAGTTACCAGATGGGGAAACTGAGGCACAACACAACACAGGCACTTCCCCCAAAGCCTCCAAGATAGGCACAAAACCCAGGAGTCCCAGTTCCAACCCACTAGGCCTTACTCCCCACCCAGCACTAGGGACAGAACCCAGGAGTCCTGCCTCCTCCCTCTAACCACTAGACCCCACTCCTCTCCCAGAGCCGGGGCAAGAACCCAGGAGTCCTGAGGGTTTGTTTTGGTGTCTGGAAAGAGACCCCCCCCTTTCCCCTGCCCCCCACTCTGCACAATCTCTCAGCCCCACGTCCCCCTTCTATCAAGCCTGCCCCCACAGGAGCACCGCCGAGCAGTTTAAGGCTCCGGGGACAGGGGGTTCAAAACCATCCCCTGCCCGGAACCAGCTTGTCCCCTCCCCCGGATTCAGTGTTCACCCCCAGCCTGGCGCCCACCACCTGCCAGCCGTGAGCAGAGCTGCCTTCCGAGCCGTTGTCCTGGGTTCGATTCCCGGCTGACGCAGCCGGCTGAGTCCTTCTCTTTTAAAGGTCTGAGGCCCCTTCCAACCCCCGCTGCAGAAAGGGGACAGGGAAGAAGGCTCCTGCTGTTACCCCTGGGGAAACTGAGGCAGGGAGAGCAGGCACGAGAGGCTATAGGCACAGAACTCATTCCTGACACACACAGCGGGGTCGCTGAGAGCCAGGACCCCTGGGTTCTCTCCCCCGGCTCTGAGAAGGGAGTGGGGGCTAGTGGTTAAAGCAAGGGGGGCTGAGAGCCAGAACTCCTGGGTTCTAGCATCCGCAGCGGTTTGCCCACTCCACCCCCTGCTCGATTCTCACAGACACAAACGCACCTTGATGAAAATTACTAAAACGTTTATTTTCCTCACAAAGGTACAGTATTTCTCCCTCCCTGCAGGGAAGTCAAACTTGACACAAAAAAACATAATAGAAGCAGGGGGCAGGTCATTTACAATCGGTCATTTGCCCCCTGGTGTGGGTGGGTGGAACCCCCCCCCCGGCAAACAGCGCTAGAGGAAGTTTCATTAAAAGCCCAGAGCAATAACCGTCCCCCTGGATTTTCTACGCTGGTTAAAATCTGCTCTCATGTCGCCGGGCGGGGGGTATAAACCGACACCAAATGAAACATACAGCTCCGAGCGCCGGCAGAAAAGGCTTAAACTAAGGTATCGAAACACCACTTGCAGTGGCTGTATAATGCCGGGGGGAGACAGACACCCCCAATGGCAGCAATGTGCCCCGCCTCTCCCACCGGCTAGGTAGTCTAAATGTATCTACAAAGAGAATTAAAACAGGGGCCCTGTTTTTTGGGGTCATGAACCATGTCCCCCCATGTTTCTGCCCCTTTGGATTGCCCAGTAAGGAATTCAAGGGGGGGGGGGATCAGCCCCCCAGCCTACCTCAATGGAGATCAGAAACTCCTGGCCCCTGTGATTTCCTGGGGTGACCCCCCACCCCAAAAGGATCAGACACTCCTGATTGCAACAGGTCTCCTCCCTGCCCCCCCCCCCCCATTTAAACGGCTCACGCCCCAAGCTGCAAGGACCCAGGCACGGCGCCCCCTCAGTTGTCTTCGTCGCTGTCGTCGGGGCTGATGGCTGGGCTGGTGAGGCTGTAGGTCGGTGAGGTGGGGCTGTAGCCGGGCGAGGTTGGGGAGTAGGTTGAGCCCTTGGGCGAGGTGGGGCTGTAGGTGGGCGAGGTGGGGCTGTACTTGGGGGAGTGGGGCTGTAGGTGGGGCTGGTCGGGGAGTACTTGGGGGAGGTCGGGGTGTAGACGGGGGAGGTCGGGGAGTAAGTCGGCGAGGTGGGGCTGTACTTGGGGGTCGTGGGGCTGTAGGTCGGCGAGGTAGGGCTGTACTTGGGGGAGGTAGGACTGTACTTGGGGGAGGTAGGACTGTACTTGGGGGAAGTTGGGGTGTACTCGGGGGAGCTGGGGCTGTAGGAGGGGCTGGTTGGGGTGTACTTCGGGCTGGTCGGGCTGTAGCTGGGGCTGCTGGGGCTGTAGCTGGGGCTGCTGGGGGTGTAGGTTGGTGATTGCGGGGTGTAGCGGGGGCTGGAGGGTGAGTAGCTGGGCGACGTCGGGCTGTAGCTGGGACTCGTCGGGCTGTAGCTGGGAGAGGTGGGGCTGTAGTTTGGCGAGGTCGGGGTGTAGTTGGGGCTGGTGGGGCTGTAGCTGGGTGACGTTGGGCTGTAGCTGGGGCTGGTGGGGGTGTAGTTGGGGGACGTCGGGCTGTAATTGGGGCTGGTTGGGCTGTAGCTGGGCGAGGTGGGACTGTAGCTGGGGGACGTCGGGCTGTAGCTTGGGCTAGTGGGGCTGTAACTCGGCGACGTGGGGCTGTAGCTAGGACTGGTCGGACTGTAGCTAGGTGATGTTGGACTGTAGCTGGGGCTAGTCGGACTATAGCTAGGCGACGTCGGGCTGTAGCTGGGGCTGGTCGGACTATAGCTAGGTGATGTTGGACTGTAGCTGGGGCTGGTTGGGCTGTAGCTCGGCGATGTGGGGCTGTAGCTCGGACTGGTCGGACTGTAGCTGGGTGACGTGGGGCTGTAGCTGGGGCTGGTCGGGCTGTAGTTCGGGCTGGTGGGAGAGTAGGAGGGGGACGTGGGGCTGTACGAGGGGGATGTCGGGCTGTAGCTGGGGCTCTGGGGCGTGTACCCTCCGGGCGAGCGGGGCTCGTAAGCCGGCGACGTTGGGGAGTAGCTGGGAGACATGGCCCCACCTGTGGGGCGAAGGAAGAGGAGAGGGGGTTGTTAGAGGTGGGGGAGCATGGCGGGGGGCGGGGGACATGGGCCAAGGCCCGACACTCACCTGGTGACGGGACGTAGGGGCTGGAGGGGCCCGGGGAGCCTGGCGAGCCGGGGGTGGGGGACCACGCCGGGGAATAGCCCGGGCTGAAGCCACTGGCATCGGAGGCAGCGCTGGGGGAGAAACCGGCCGCACCGGGGGTCATGCCGCTGCCTGTGGGGAGCGACAAAGGGGGCAGGTTAATTTCACCCCTGACTGGAAGTAAGGGGGAGGACAGCAGAACCCATCCACTGCCCCCCAAGGGATAACTCCATCCCCCCCATACGCACCGACACTCGGGGACCAGGCTCCGTAGGCCGGGGTGGCCCCCTGGTTCCAGGGGGTCATGGCGGGTGACATCCCCCCCATGGGGCTGGGGGCCGAGCCAAAGAACATGCCGGTGGCTGCGGGGAAGGAGAGCAGAATGTTAGAGCCGAGAAGAGCGGGGTGACTGAGGGGGAAGAGGCCAGCACCAACCCCCCAGGCTGGGCGGGGAAGCCACCCCTCCCAAAGCCATCCTGGCTCCCAGCTCCCCTGCCACAACCCACTCCCCTCCCAGAGCCGGGGAGAGAACCCAGGAGTCCTGGCCCACCAGCCCCCACTCCCCTCCCAGAGCCAGGGAGAGAACCCAGGAGTCCTGGCACACCAGCCCCCACTCCCCTCCCAGAGCCGGGAGAGAAGCCCGGAGTCCTCGCCCACCA